CATATGAGTTTAATTACAACTCTCTTACATAAAATTACATGTCAAAGCTAGTTTTCTCCAAAAGTTTTACAAAAGAAGTTATAAAAGCCACAAGTCGGCTTTCTTCACCCTTGCGGCCCTAAATGAGAACCGTCCACCGGCGTATATCCTGTACCTGCAATGTTTCCCGTATAGGGTGAGTCACGCCCAATAGAGTATTTTCTACAAAGGCTACTCCGCACCTAAGTGCACATGCAATGTTCACATTTAACATTTCATATTCACATCAGCATTGCAAGTAAGAATATGCAATTCTAGGTTGGAATTCTACCATGCCATGCTATGAAATGAGATGAGACTCACTCATGCATTTCACCCCGAGTCTCCACCGACTCCCACAACACAATGCAGTGCTACCGTCATCTATGTTACACATCAGATGACATTTTTATATAAATCTAGGGTTTTTCTTGGGGGTGGATATTTATGGACTCACACCAACGGCACCCAGCCGGCACGAAATTCATGAACTACTACCAACGGTTTCGCGTATATCGACACACTTTACGGGCTCTTATACCAACAGAGTGTGAATCCAATTACCAGGTCTTTCACCCGAGGGATATTCTAGCCCTTCTTGCTAACCCTGACCCAATTTTCTATAAAATCATGCGACTCAGTCGAATCATCAATCCAACCTTCCCAAGCCCACTCGTCATACGCCAAATGAGGTGAAGACGACAACCATACACACGCACACCCTTAATATGCGATGTCCCCGTGCATATGCAATGTAATGTACCATTGCATGTCAATGTCATGTTTCATGTGTAATGAATGTCACATGAACAACTTAAATCACAGATTTCATCATGTATCATGGACAATTATATCATATGCATATAACCTCCAAAAAACCCATCACAATGTCAATATATTATACACATAAATCAACATTTTTTTCCAACACAATCCATAAGTATGTTACTACATAATCAAGCAATAACACGCTTAATTCTCAAGGCATAAAGTAAACACTTAGTATGCCCACAAAACAGCCCTAAATCAGGCCATATAGCAGCCCCAAAACAAGCCAGAAAACAGCCCCTAAACCGGCCACATAGCAGCCACAAAACAGTCCGTATTTCAGGCACAAAACAGTCCCAAAGTAGGCCATAAAACACCCCCAAAAACAGCCCCTAATTAGTGCACAAAACAGCCCCAATTTCAGCACCAAAACAGTCCATAACATGGCCTAAAAATAGTCCGTAATTCAGCCCCTTAACAATCCAAAATTCAGCCCCTTAATAGTCCATTTGGACAGCCCACATACAACCCAATTTCAGCCTCTAAAACAGTCCAAAAACAGTCCATTTGGACAGCCCTTGGACAGCCCACATATAAACCAATTTCAGCCACTAAAAGCCCACTTAAGGTAATAATAAAACCAAGGTAGGAGGGAACCCTACCTCTTGTAGCGTGGAGGAAGTCGTAGAACTTCCAAGAACACCAACAATAGCTCAAGAACTTGATTTCTCCAAAATCTCTTCTTTGGATCTTCGGTGAAATCCTCTTTTCTTGGTACGTATATGTAGCCCTCGTCACAGTGATCGACTTTAACTCTTGATCCGAGTTAATCTGAGGGACGGAACTTCGAAGATCCAGGAATGAAGCCTTGAAGAACTATTTTTTCTCTCTTCTCTCTTCTTTCTTCTCTCTCCTCTCTCCTCTCTCCTCTCTCCTCTCTCCTCTCTCCTCTCTCTATGGACAGCCAAAGAGGGATGAATGAATGAGATATTTTCTCAAAAAATCTGATTTTAAGTCTATATTTATAGTCTCGAATGTGCAGTTCATATCACACCGCATATTTCTGACTTTCGGGTTTGTTTTTCGTCCCAAAACGATTCATTAAGTCCTGGATTAAGTTCAAATTAATTTTATTTGAACTTTTATCCAATTTTAGGGAAATTTTATGAAACTCATTTTTTGGGACCTTTAAAATGTCATTCGTCACACAGTCGTCTCGAATGACGTGCAAAAATTTGACTATTTTAGAATTTGACGAAATTTGACAGGGTGACTAGATTTTGCAATACGAATCCAACGGTGAACTTTGTTTCCTCATTCGAGGTCTAGAACATGAGTATTTTAAATATGCATTATAGTAGCAAATTACCATTTTACCCTTTTTTAGAAAAAGTTCAAATTTACCCGGGTTTTACATTTCATGTGCTAATCATTCCATTTTCTCTTGTTTTTGGGGATTAAATGATTGGAATTGCACTACTTGAGCAATTAACGAAGATATTTGGTGATTGCAGATAAAAGATGTCAAATGATGCTTCTTAAGGCCTTCTTCAAATGAGTTGAGGTGAATAAGGATGAAAGAGTGGCTAGAGGAAAACTCAGGAGTTGAAGAAATTAGAAAACCAGTCAAAATGCAGAAACAGTACCAGTACTGAGTACCGGTACGATTTGGCCTCTATAGAAAACAGTATAGGTACGGTTTTACCTCTAGAGTTCGGAGTATTGGTACACAGTACCAGTACTATCTACTATTTTTGCCCAAATCTCTGCAACTCAGGCTCTGCCATTTTTAGGGTCCCACCAATCACTCTCCCACTTGTCTCTGACTCCCCCATCACATTGAACAACCCTCCTACACCCTTCAATTGACTTTTGGTGCTTGGATGATAAATGAAGAGAGAGAAGAAGAATGCTGTTGGGTGTGCCAGCTAGCTCTGCACCACCTTGTCTAGCCCATTCCTTTTGACAGCCTATGGATGGAGATCATATCAGATAGATTGAGTAGGACTCCAAGCATGTTTTTGGGAGGGGAGGACTCTATTGTTCAGCGTTGGATAGATTTTTTACGGAAGAGAATATAGACCGAGAAAGAGCTGGGGAAGAAGATGAATAGTGTATTGTAGTGAGAGAAGTTGAGATTTTTACATTTTCTTCCGTACATTGTCTTCTAGTTTCATGTAAGAACCTTCTAAGCTTCCTTTAATGCTTTGAATGTCAATAATGTCTAGTTGTTTTCAAGTTCAATCTTCCGTTAAAGGTTTCACCATTAATGCTTCAATGTTCTTAAATTTCTTAGCTATAAATGGGTAGTAAATGCATTTTCATTTAGTTTATGCTTCTTACATTTACTTCACCAAGCATTTCATTTCCTTTGAATGTATTCTCACTACATTGTTGGTTTTCTTTTAATCATGAGTAGCTAAACAATTTAGTTGGCTAATCCAAGGAAAACCTCCACTTGGGTATGTCATTCCAACTCTTTGTATTCCTCCTCTCAGTGTATGATGGCTTGGTTTGACTAGGTTAGGGTGAGGACATGGTTATGAGTTCTTGATACACCGTAGGCATTGTCATGGTGTATGCTTGAATCCTCACCCCCATTTTAGTCCTGAGCTTCTCACGAATCAATCGTACATCTAAGCACCATTGGAGGAAGACTTGAGTTGGTTTGGCATTCCCTTTGGAGTGAAACTTTGTGATTAGCCAACACTTGTTTTCCACTTCATATTCATAACAAAAAAACTCACAAACCACTTTCAACTACAAAAGATTTTACACTTTCTTTCCACATAAATCACTTTCAAAACGATTCACATCCTTCTCCGAGGAAACGACCTTGGAATACTTCCAAGTAAAACACGACCCGCAAAAGTCTCCTTGCGCTTGGGGAGCATTTTTGTACACACACATCACATTTCACATTTCTATTTTCCTTTTTCCGTCCCTTCTTTTGACACCATTCCAAGGGAGTGTGACACTCCCCTCCCCTTTTTGCACACACATCATACATACATTGAGCGAAGGTGTTAGGAGATTAGGAACAACAAGGAAATAATTAAAGCACAAGTCTCCCAAAAGGTTGGATCGTATATTCGTATTGACCTTGAGTGATCTATTAGGTTGATTGCCCACCGGTGTAGCACTATATAGAATGTTCCTAATCTCTCTTTTATTGTCCAATTTGTACTTAAATGATTCCGTTTACATGAAATGACATTTTCTCTAATGTATATCAAATGCTCATTTCGCTTTTTCTCAATCATGCTAAACTATGTATTTCAAACTTGTTTGCTTAGAAATTGAGTTAGTCTACTGAGTTGTTGATGCTCACTCTACATTACTTTCCCATTTTTTGATATGTAAAGGCGGGAAGCATGTAATTAGAATAAAAGTGAATTTTATGTGTTGGATGTACTTATATGACTTGAAATGTGTAATAGTTTGAGTAGGATATGTATGTTATGTTTAAATTCATATAAAATTCTATAGTTGTATGTTAAGGGTTGTTCCACTATGCTATGCTACTATTCTTTTCTGTTATTAAAATGTTTTTCTGGTCGAAGTAACACTTGTCGCATGGTTGTTAGATCAGGGGTGTGACATTAGGTATCCCTAACACGTCTTCCACAATAACTTTTTGGCTTTTATTGCAAAAATCAAACCTATAGAAGTAGTAGACGATCACCATAAAATCAAAACATAAGCACATTCGGAAGTCATAATACCTCTTCCTTACAAAAATAATCTATAGAGGCATGATATGATGATAACCAATCCATACCAAATATCAAATTAAATTCATGGATATCCAATGGCAACAAATCCACCTATAACTCCCTATTACCCACATGCACAATATAATCCCTATAAATGGTCTTTGCCACTATGTCATCTCCAATAGGGGTAGGAATAGATAACCTATTATCCAATAAAGTAGAGGGTCGATCTACATGCATGGCAAATGATAATGACATAAACGAATGCGTATCACTAGAATCAATAAACACTCATGCAAACCTTCCAAAAATAGAAAGCATAACTATAACCACCTTTGGTGTTGCTTGTGCATCACATTGTGCCACACAAATAACCTTCCTCAAGTCTTAGATTTGCTTGAAGAATCATTGCCCCTACCTTGAGAACTTCTTGCAGAACCTCTACCACTACTAGCTGCACTACCCACTGATGATGTAGGAGCTACAAGTTGTGGACTATCACGTTGCATATGACCCAACGACCTACATGTATAACATCTCCATGGAACATTTGCTCAAAATGAAGTGCACTCTTTAGCATAATGTCCAACCTTGCCACATTTATAACAAATATTTTCCACACTACGACCACTAGATGCACCCTTGCCTTGAGAAAAAGATTGTTGGCAAACAGAACCCTGTCTTCTACTTTGCATAAACTGACCTTGTTGACCGTTTGGAAGGAGTCTTTGATGTTGAAAAATTTTCCCACTTTGACCTGGAAATCAACCACTAAAGTAGCTTGTCTTGCTAGATCAAACCTACTCCTCTTAGATTTCTCTCCCACCTTTTCTTCCTCTTGCATATCTCTCTTAGCAATCAGTGCCTTGTTTACCAAGTCAATATACCTTTTCAACTCTAGGGTACAAATCTGGCATCGAATGCTAAAGTGTAATCCCATTTGGAACCTTCTCCATTTCTCCTCCTCATTTCCCACTATCGATGGAACAAATTGGGACAATGTTGTAAACTTGTTTTCATAATTAGTAATTGACATATTCCCTTAGGTTAGGTAAATAAACTCATTCTCTTTCTCGTATTGGTGGACTGGAGGAAAAATTTTCTTATCAAAATCTTCATTAAACTACTTCCCCATCATTGCTTTACATACCTGATTAGCCCTAATTAATATGTACATTAATATAGTTAAATATGATAATTATATAAGATAAATCAATTAAAAACTATAAATTAGGGTTTGTGCGTAAGCTTGAGTTTTATTTATGTATTGTCTGAAATTTCAAGGTTTTTATGTGGAATTACCAGAAATCAGGAGGAGCAATCTATCAAAGCTTGAAACAACAAAGGAGGCAAGTGTAATATAACCAAGAAACTACCAGAATAGTAAGAGGATCAGCACCAGCAAAGAAGGACCGTTCGGAGGGGTGGTGGTGGCATCTGGACGGTGACCCCAAGTGGTTTGAACTCATCCTCCATCTCATGCTCCATCTTTGCCTATATATATGGCATGCCTGCTTCACTTGAAACGGTTGGGCTGGGAGAGGAAACAAAGAAAGGAGAAAGAGAGAAAGAAAGGGATAAAAAGCAAAAAGAGAAAGAGAAAGTCACAGAGAATTCAAGATCCAGTCTGTCCTACTCTCCAGCCAAAACTCTGCATTTCTACATTTCTGTTATGTCTTTCTACTTGGAGAGTTGAACTGTTGCCACCTTTGTGTCTTAATCGATATTAATGGTGGTTGTATTTCAATTATTTCTTGCGAAAGAAGTGTCAGTGTCTATATTTTATCTACTGTTGCATGGTACAATTGTGAGATTAATAATCTAAGTGATCATCATGAATGGATTGTCCTTCAAGATTACTAGGGTTGTTTAACTGATATAATATATAAAAATCATCAGATTAACGATCTAAGTAACCCTCATGAATGGTTTGTCCTTCTGGATTATTGAGGTTGTTTAACTAATACATATTATAATAATAGTCAGTTGAGTAGTTCAAGTGATCCTCATAAATGACTTGTCTTTCTGGTTTACTTGGATTAGTCAATTATCATATAACCAGCTAACCTAAAAAGTTGATGTGTTATGGTTTAATAATACCACTAGCTCATCTAAGAAGTTGATGTGTTATGGTTTAATATGCATATACTTGGTATACTATTGCCGATTGAGTAATTCAAGCAATCCTCATGAATGGCTTGACCTTCTGGGTTACTTGGATTAGTCAGTTGACATGTATACTACCAGCTAACCTAAGAAGTTGTTGTGGTATAATTTATATACATCAGATCTACCAGTTGACTTTTTAGTGATGTGGATGTTAATTGTTGTAAGATAGCATTTCCAATATTTAACCAATATAAAGCATATGAGATCCTTAAACTAAAGGGTACTTTTCATATTATTATCTTTTAATAATCTATTTACACATTTCATTTAGTTAGACTAATTATCAATTTAAGCTCACATCACAAGCTATCTCATGTTACACTATTTTAACAATAACTTCACTGTTCTTATTTTAAAATTCTAATTATTAAAACTCTTCGTGGGATCGATCTTGGACTTAAACTGAGAAAACTACAATTTGACCACTTATACTTGGGTGTATAATATAAATCCGATCACAAGATAGTTCGAATCAGTACCGTTCCAATTTTTGAGGCAATTGCTATAACTTAAAATATGCAAACCCAAGTGTAGTTTGTCATGAAGTAATATATAAACTTGGAAGTCCAAGATCGTACCACAGGGAATGGGGAAAACATAGAACACGGGGAAAAATTCTTTGAAAGTCAATTGGATAAATTATTTGTTCAAAAGAACAAAAGTTGTTTGATTAAAAATAGGAATCTGAAATACTAAAGTATCGAGACACCCTTTCAATTCCACACGATAATTATTAATGATTTAGTTTTTGACTCAATTGGGAATAGTTGAGGAGTGATTCCAATGGGAATATTTAGTAGTGATAGTATGAAAACATCAAAACTATAATTAATGGATTATCTGAATAAATATAAGAATTTACTTGTAGATCACATCAACTAGGAAACCCTATTTTATGGCAAATAATAAATCAACTATTTTATGAAAGCTCCAATCAAATAATTCAAGCATGAAATAACCAATTTTTTGACTCGTAGTAAATACCAGGCATTCGATGTACGTCGCACATTGAATCAATAAATTATATAGAACAAAAACTTTACTAAATGATAAGAATTAAATTAAAGGATTACATCATGCATTAAAAACATTGGAACAAGAACAAATCTCGTGCTTTATTAAAAGTATCTCCCCTAACTTTAGTTGGGCTTTTAGCAGGCCATAAAAAAAATACAATAAAAACTAGAACATAAAAGGCTGGTAAAAGATTGATACAAAGCACAACCTATGCCTCTTTATATAGGCCCTAGGAAACCAAAAACCAAGGACTCTATAAGCATAAGACAATTCTTGTCATCACCTTGGGAAGCATGTTTTGGACACACCGTGTTTTTTTGGCTTCTCTATCCATTGCATTTGGATGCACTCATTCTTCCGTTCGAACGTATGTCTTCGACTCTTTCTTGAGCAGTTACTGGAAGTCACATCCGGACGCGCTTGATCCACCATCCGGACGCTATAGGAAGAACTCTAATTTTGCTTCCTTGTATTGTGGATCTTTACCTCTTGCTGAATTTTGTCCTTCCAAATCATAATTTCAACCTATTTACTTGCAAAACTAGCCAAATAATTCAAAAAGAAGATGATATCCAAAGTTAATCAATTTAACACATTTAATGCTTTGCTCAATTAATTAGCCAATAATTAATATCAAAATCACACAATATTTATGGCTAATCAATAGTCAACCATTGCTCAATGGTTTTCCACCAATATTGGGCTTTAGCTGTGAGCATAAAAGTAGCTACAGTAACCTTTGTTCCTTAGTAACACCCATAACCCTGAATTTTTTCTCCATTTCTCCTTGCCAATTTTAACTTCTGAAGCCCCAGACAATCTAGAGAAAGTTGGAGCATAAAGCTTTTTCAATCTTTCATAGATTGTACTTTGGGGTTTTGTACGATCTGGTTTCATCATCTGATATTCAAAATATTTAGTGGCTACCTTAAGCATCTATTTGGATTCCTGGCCATACTGTTCACCTTGAACTCAGGAGGCTTTCCCCTTTTCTATAACATGAGTAGAAGTAGTATCCTCCTCAATATTTTCCTGATTTTTTGGATCCATAACTATCTCTACCAAGTAATCAAGGTAAATGAACAAATAATATTACATCATTCTACTCAACAAATAAAAACCATCCTATCAAACTTAACAGACACAACCCTAACGGTCTAGTGTAATAGCTAGCCTCGACAAGTCTATAGAACCTATCAAAAATTAGTTCTGATACCTAAAATTGTCACACCCCATCTTGAAAAAGAGATAGGGTTTGGATAACTCCATCCTGTTAACCCTTTAATCATAATTAAAAATAGAGTAATTCAACCTATGCAATAATAATCAAATTCATCCACTTAAATGAGAAACCTGATATAACGTAAAACAGAGCACAATATTACAAACGTAACTAGAACACAATACCCTTAAACATCTAAACAAATTGTGTACAATATGACACAAGACAATGTACAAATAGCCACCAATATTGGTATTGAGGTAATGACAAATTAGAAACATCTTGGCAAAATGGAGGAAAAAGCCCTGTTGTACTGGTACAAGTTTTATCGATTCTATAGGAGCAAACAACCTTTGTACTATTACAACTTAGTTTGTACTAGTTCATTGCATACAAAAGCATTTTGTACTAGTTCTTTGATGTGGTACCGATTTAACCTTAGGCAGAAGGCCCTTGTACAAGTACAAAACCATCTTGTACCAATATAACATTGGTTTTTCACCTACATATCAATTCTAGTTTCCCCTTCAACCCTACCTCTCACATCCCATAACTCTTAAACACTCACACCATCAATTATAACCATTTAACTTCATGCAAAACCTTAGCTAAAATAAACTCAATTACTCATAATCATAAATTGAGAATCAAAACCTTTCCCCCATACCCAAGATTACCTCGCAAACTATTTATGCTTGTACTCTATATAAACAATAAGATTATTTAGAAAAAAAAACCCTTACCAACAAACCTTAAGCTTTAAGAAATGAAGAGAAATCCAAAATAGGTTGAGAAATTTGACTCAAGAGAATCCCGCATAAGAGTTCTAAACTTTAGAAGTTTTTTCCCACCAAATTCTCTAAGTGAGAACCGGTACAAGCCTATATTAGCAAGGGTAAGCTCAGAGAGAGACGGGTGTCTTCAATCAGTCACCGAATTCCTCCCAAACTCTACTTAAGTCCCCTTTGTTTCCTTCCTTCACATATCCGACAACTAGTTTTTCCAACTCATATTAATTCACACGCAAAACATTTTACCACCTTATAAATCATCCCCTTGGGTTTATAATTTAAAATATTGTCTAACTCCACATAACTTCAATAAGTATAATTTAGCCTCATGGCTATTATTAACAATTACACATTTAACCCTAACATTATATAACTGAAATGCAATGTATGTCCAAGTTTCACAACTATATAATAAAACATTACTTTTTTGTAGTGAAACTTAGTTTATTATTTAATAAAAGTTCATCATTTTCTTTTTTAATGAGAATTTCTCTAGGTAAAATATTTACATTATATTAAATGCATGGTATGCATGAGTGTCTTTTATTTGACAATGTAGATAGTCTCATATGTAGAGTTCAAATTATGCATAGAAGATCAGATCAATGGTTCATTGTATGATATGAGTAAAGATTCAGTTTTAGATGCAATTGGACACACTATCAGTAGAATTGTAGTACAATCTGCTGGCACAGTCTGTCTTGATTATTGGAGATTGTCTGATATCTTGGGTTGTTGCACTATTATACTTCATGTATTGAATAATACCATTTTTGAAGTTTATTGTCTTTTTATTGTATAAATAAAAAATAAATACCTCACGGTTATTATGATTTC